GGAGGATATTTCCTGTTGCCTTTATTGATCTTGATTGGGGAAAAATTTAGTCAAAATTTTGCCAATACGTCATCCCAAGCAGTGTAGACTCCCTTCAGAAGAATTTAAGCCAAAGCTTTGCTTTGCAGCCAAGAAGAAAAGGGAAATAGACTCAATCAATGTTTCAATCTGCACAATGTAAAATTTTTACAGTGTTACAAATTCATTTTAAAAGTTGTCACGATGTGATCATAGGGATTTTGTGTGACATTCTGTAAAAGATTACTTTTGACAGGTGAATCAGTGCAGGATGGTTTCATTTCCAATGGAGCAGCATTTACCATAGTCGGGCTTACATGTTGAAAGATGAAGTATAGAACAGAAGCATAATCTTCCAACGTACGCCTAACTCTCCTCCTATTATTTCCCTCCATATCCTTATCCTTTTGATCAATGAAGAAAAAGTGTTGAAGATAGAGACAAGCTAGTTCTCTAGCTTCTTTTTTTCTATTTTCTCTCCGACGCTACTGTTATTCCACGGGCTTGTTCTCTCAATCTCAAATCAAACAATAAATTTAGATTTTGTTCTTCTGGCATTCGAGAACAAAAATCTCCAAGTATCAACCCAAGAAATAACAACAGGAAATAAAACACAACGTATATATACAGATAACAGAAAATTAAAAACAAGATTACAGATAATGGACAGAATTGAAATTGATTAACAATAAATGATTGAATAACAAAACAATCAAATTCCCCGCAACGACGCCAAAAACTGTTAACTTTTGGCAAGTATACCAAATCGTTCCAAGTAATACAATGAATAAGTAAAAGAGTATCGTTCTCCCAAGGGAATTTGAGTTACGTTATTCAATTATAATTGTTTATCAAGATCAATTACTGATGAAAACATTTGTGATTTCAATTGGACTTAAACATGAAATTAACAACGTAACAAAAATTAAGATTGAAAAATGCTATAAAGATCACTGGAATTGGTCTTTGACTAATATTACAGTAAAATCCTGGACAACATATATTCTCTGTTCAAGCATTCACATGAGAGTATCTTGGTTTAATTCCTTAAAACAAGTTCTAAAATTATCTATTGAATTATTAATTCCTAATTAATTCATCAGATAATTTGCATTAAATCAGATGTTGAGAATGACCAAAAGCACAAAAGTTTTCCTAGCGTAGTTACTTTTAGTTCTTTCTTACGTTTCTGGTTCTAAAAAATATTCCCAGTACAACAGAACTTTTAAGAAGATTAATACTTCCTATAATCAAAAAGTAAGTCAAGAAAAGAAACAAGAACAAAAACTATATTGCACAGGAAATTTACATTATGATTCGTTCATACAACCAATTCCAAGACAGAAAATTAGCCTATCCTAGCATCTCAAACGTACTCTTTAAGCAATTCCTTGCAGAGTGAAGTCTTGATGTCTTGACAGGTCTCCATGCGATCTCTCCTGAATTTCCTCCAGTATTTTTCTGGTATTTTGTGTGTCAGAAGATCTTTTTGCCTTTTGTCACGTCTTTTAAAACCACATAACTTCATTAATTCGCTAGCGCACAGTGTGTGTGCGCTATGCGAATTCTTACAAAGAATTCACCCCCACGCCGACTTGAAGATTGAAAAAAGCATCTCGAAACCAAATCCTCAAAATACTCTTGACCAACTTCTTCTTAAAGTCTTTCTTTTTTCGCTGCTTTTACAAATCTTCAGCCATCCACAGCTGGATTCAGTTCATCTTTTTCAAATTTCAAAATCTTTGGGGTACAATGAGCAATAAACGAAACAGCGTTTTAAATGTGGAGGGAGATAATTATAACATTCTGAGGGCTGGAATAATTTTACACTGATTTTCAGAAGTTCCCAAATGTCATTTGAAGACATTATTCCAATCCCTAATAGTATGCTTTCTTTCAACATTCCTCCAAGTGCTGGCGGCAACGGCAAACCGTTGCACTTTTTAAAATCTCCTTTCCATCTTTCTGAGTTTCCTCTAGTCTACTGGCGTCGAGAGAGGAGGAGGGAAAAGCATGGTTTGCAAACACGACAACAATCTCATTGACAATTTGTTTAGATGATATACTTCAACAGTATGAAAAGGCACTGCACCGCTACATTTTCATTGCGGGTTGGATCAGAACTTACTGCCCTTATTCCCGCTTAGAAATGGTTTGTAAAGACTACTTCCAATTGTCAGAATCCTCGATCCAAACATCATCCAACACAATCAATAATCTTTTACCTTTCAGTTTGTCCATCAACTCAAGTTGAAGAGCATTTAGATCACTCAATTTGCAAGGCATTCGGGTAATTTCCTCCATCATGGTTCTTGTGGCCCTCACAATATCAAATATATCAGAAACACAAACCCATGCCTTTATATCAAATATATGCTGCTGCAATTTGCCATCGTTGAACACAGATCTTGCCAAAGTGGTTTTTCCAACCCCACCCATGCCTACAATAAAAAAAAAAAATAGGATCACAGACACTGTTTCACCATGTGCTATCCTCTAACACCATCTTCATTATGCCTCCTTATCTTTCTCTCTAAATCATAGATACCCATCTTCCAAAGATGTTGGCTGAGCTTTCCATGGCTGGTAGCTCTCCACTGGAATCTCCTTCAAATCAAGACTCTCTTTTTGTTTTAAAATGTTATCTAATCTTTCAACAATGTCTTCCAACTTACTAATACTAACAATCTTCTTCGTTTTGAAAAGGCGAGAAAATGAATTGCTTACCTCCTTTGAGTAGCGCTTTAGTTAGAAGAAACTTCATCAAGTAGTCAATCAACCTCTAGACAACATCTCGGATTAAGATGAGCCACTCTTGACATTGGAGTCTGTGATTTTGTCTCTTCTCAGCATAAGCAAGCACAATCTAAACTCTATGAGCTGTGTTTTAACCGTTTGAGCCACTTGTCAGGCATTTTTTCCTCGGAGATAAAGTTGAGAACCTCAGGGGAGGCCAGCTGTCGAAACGAACGTCAAAGAAAGCAGAAAGGAAAGGAGCGCACCACCAACTACCACAGCTATGCCATTGATCTCAACACCAAAACAAGTGATGATCAGAGTAGCAAACAAAAATGCAAAGGAAAGGACTTGGTCGTAAGAAATGGTTGAACTGGATGGGGGAGACTTCAACTTGACTCTCTCCATTTCAACTTTCTACGCTTCGTCCGTGCCTACAAGCAAATAAACCGTTTGGATATAACATTAAAAGATTGTTTTTTAAACGGTTGAATTGAAATTGAAAGATGCTTAGTTGAAAAGTCTACTGGTTTGTCGTTTTCAAAGATAAGGTTCATGGTCGGATCACCTCTTGAAAATTCACCCGTAGATATATTTAATTTAAAATAAAAACTGTGAGAATCAAGACATGTTAAATGACACAGGTTTTCATTTTGACAAACGTATTTCTAATATCGAAATTGATTTTTCCAGCTTTTTTCTATTTGCTTTCCTACAATATACAGGACAATATAATTATAGAATTTAGTTCAGTTGAATATTTAATTGTTTTTTACATATATTAGTCACTACAAAAATATTATATTTCTTCAGGGATATTTTCAGCATTATCGGACTTTTTAACTTATAAAAATATGTTTCCTGATTGTAAAATTACTAAAAGAAATAACGTCACAAAGTTACCGACGAAACTAGCCGAGATTTTGTTGATCTGCTCTATTTTTAGAGGTTTTTAGGAAACGCTGAACTAATGGAGTTCTACCAAAACGTTAGAAGTAACTGCGTTCAAAATAAATGCCCCTATTTCCAAAAGTTTTATCCAAAACCGCTCGAAATTCATCAGATCATTTTTTTTGTGTTGAAAATGAATTATGATAAATCTGGTTTTAATATCAATACATGCCATCAAATAATATAATCTAAAATTAAATATTATTATATAAAATAAATCAACATATATTATTAAAGACAAAAAGATGTTCAATACTAAAAAATTAAAAAACAACAATGTTCCAATAACTAAAAATTAAAGACAAAAGATGTTCAATATTATAAAAAATTGGAAAACAACGATATTCAATACTAAAAATAAAGACAAAGATTGTCTAGATTGTTCTTCTTTGTTACATCCATCAACACACTTCTTGATTAAATACCTACAAATAAACATAAACAGTTAGTTGGTTATATATTTAAAAATAAGATCATACAAATAAATTTAGCAATTATTACCGATGATGTTGAATGTAGCAAGTTGGAGGCACTTTCACTATCGTAGATATACAATTATCACTGACAAACAATTTCATTTTGTATCATATTATCCGGTAAATGCATTTACATGTGCATTCAAAATCAGAAATTGTTATTACGCAAAATAGCAACTAGATTTACTTCTTTTAAATGTAAATGGCACATGTAAACGTGCATTTACATGTGCATCAAATGTGCATCAAATCAGAACTGAGCTAGGATATGGTATAGGGTATAGAAACAACAGTCATGACATGGACAAGCTTCACTTACAAAATTAAACATACAAGTTCTGGACAATTTACTTCTTTTAACAATGATTATTTCAAAAACTAGATTACTGCACAAAAAATTGATACTAAACACAAGCTTTCAATCCTGTTCAGTTGAAGTGCTCACAAATTCTTTTCACATTTCCAGCCACCATACTCAATAGTTTATGCATTATAAATACCAAAGAATAACTCAATTCTTCCAAACAATTAAAACAGTCTTAACCAGAGCTATCTTTTAATACTAGCCACGATATTCATCTTAATTCACGTCACTCAATCCTGATTCTATTTGTTGGCAAACACTAGTTTAATATACAATTACTTTCTAAACCAATTTACTTCCAGACAATTTAGTCCACTAAAACCTTCCTTTCAATTACAATTCATAACAATCAAATTATTATCTTCCATTCACTACCATATTTATTCTTTCACATATTAACATGCTTCTACAAAAAATTTCCAGAATATTAACCTATCAAATCACAAACAACAACAACTTCCTACCAAAACTTATCTCATATACTTTTTGAATGATAATGAGGTGACCATTCGATTCTCATTGCAATTCCAAGAAATCTACTTTTCTATTACATACAGGAAGCAGAATACAATCAACGGCAAATAATTACACAAGGTAAAAATTCTTAACCGGGCCAAAAAAAAAAAAAAAAAAAAAAAAAAAACATTACTCCAACATAATCTCAATGAACACACAAATATCTAATACAACTTATTCAAGGTAACATACACCAAGAAATTTATGCATGTAAAACAGGGCGCAACATGTAATACACTAGCACAACCAGACAATAAGATTCACATATTCAGAATAAAGGAGGACTTCATACTAACTATTTATTCATCTATGACAGGAATAAAACTTACTCCAATTTCTCTTGCCTCATCACTGACAAAAGCTCCATTGGTCTTCTTATGTGTAGCTATCCAGACTTTTCCTCTGCTAACTTTGTGCCCACACTCTCTTTCCTATGAAAATGGAATATCATAAATATATAAGAATTAAAAAAATCAAGTATAAGTAGTTGGATCTACTTAAAAGTAAACTAATTTGTTTCTGAGTAGAGATTAGTCAAATATATATATAATATTATATATATATATATATATTATAAATGAAAGAAATGAAAACTAAAGCTAATACTTTTTTACTTGGATCGTCAAAAGTAAAACTCTTTGATTCACCGTCCAAAAGTTTAGGTGTAAGGAATTATTACAATATCGTAACAAATCCAAAAAATGTATATAATTATTAACTAAAATGCACAAGGGGAAAATTGTGACTGTGAATTTTGACAGTAAACAAGATCTTTAAATATAAGCATATCTAACAACTGACTAAAAACATAATATAAAGCTATTGATGCATAAATAGATCGTGTTGGGAAAAGAATGGAAGGAAAGTAGAGTAATATGAAGTTTTTGGGTGGTTGAAGACTCATGTTCCAGATTCAAAACTAGAAACGAGTATTGAACATCAGGAGCTTGTGAGTGAAATACTCAAATCAGCATATTTTTTTTAAAATCCTTTCAATATTTACTATTTAACTGTCTACTCAACATAGAGACAGTTATATTTAATTATTATAATATGGAGACAAAATGGTAGACAAATATGAGAAATGAAAATCCTCACCTCGGGAAAGCAGTCCTGACGTATAATTCTCTGCTTGTTTATATCCTCACTTTATCTGCTTGAAGACAGGTTTAAATAATAATAAATTAAGGCCCAGACTACAAGAGTTTGTGAGGGGAAAATTGATAGAAAATTAAACTGAAACACATTCAATTAAAAGTATATATAAAATCTATAGACTCTTTGAAAGGAATAACTAAACAAACGTAAAAGCTACTTCAAATCAGAACAACTATTTCAAACTGGTGCATTTTTTTAAATGGGGGAACTCCAAATGGCCTATTTGGACTTGGAATGGATAATAGATCCATTCATAGCATCCGAGCCAAGAAGGGCTATCTCAAATTCCTTTTCTATGTGTTTTGGATCTGATGGTGTTGGAAAGAATCAAGTTTGGTGATTACTGGCAAGCCAGACCAAAAAAAAACTCCATTCAACTTGAACAAATTTGCAGTAGTAAGCGGTGTTTGGACTCTTAACAACAGAGCAAACAAAAATTCTTGTGTCTAACTGTGGTACTGAGTGCGTAATTTAATCCCTGCAGTCCAACTTATAACTCAGCATAACCCAAATTTTTGTGGACGATCTGTTGCTGATGTTGAGTTTCAGGATATTGAATTCTGGTACCTCGTTTACATAAAAAGTGATCCCGCTTATACACGACATTGGTGATGAGAGGTAAGTAATCTACTATGCAACAGTTTCTAAGGATTAATGTGTGCCTCATCAGGTGTCTTCCACCTAATGTTACCTCCAGCAGAGGCATCTAGCATAAGCTTTGTGTGAGATTTTAAACCTCCTAAGAAAAGGTTTAATTGAGTGGGAATGTCAAATCCATGAATTGGAGTTTTTCTCAGCAACCCCTTGAACCTCTCCCATGTTTGACTCAACGACTCTTCATGCTCTTGTTGAAAAGAGGATATTTCTTGTTTGCCTTTATTGATCTTGGATTGGGGGAAATATTTAGTCAAAAATTTTGCCACTACGTCATCCCAAGCAGTCAGACTCCCTTTAGAAAAAGAATTTAGCCAAAGCTTTGCATTTCCAGCCAAAGAAAAGGGAAATAGACTCAATCTAATTGCTTCATCTGGCACATGTAAAATTTTTACAGTGTTACAAATCTCATTAAAAGTTGTCAGATGATCATAGGGATTTTCGTGTGACATTCCTGTAAACTGATTACTTGGAACAAGGTGAATCAGTGCAGGTTTCATTTCCATATGACCAGCATTTACCACAGGTCGGGCTATACTGTTGAAAGATGAAGGTATAGACACAGAAGCATAATCTTCCAACGTACGCCTAACTCGTTCCTCCTCATTATTTCCCTCCATATCCTTATCCTTTTGATCAAATGAAGAAAAAGTGTTGAAGATAGCAGACAAGCTAGCTTCTCTAGCTTCTTTTTTCTATTTTCTCTCCTACGTCTACTGTTATTCCTATGGGCTGTTCTCTCAATCTCAGAATCAAACAATAAATTTTCAAATTTTGTTCTCCTACTCATTCAGAGAACAAAAATCTCAAGATATCAACCCAAAGAAATAACAACAGAAATAAAACACAACGTATATATACAGATATACAAAAATTAAAACAATGGATTTACAGATAATGGAACAGAATTGAAATTGATAAACAATAAATGACTGAGTTAACAATAACAATCAAATTCCCCGGCAACGGCGCCAAAAACTTGATAACTTTTTGGCAAGTATACCAAATCGTTCCAAGTAATACAGTGGATAAGTAAAAATGTATCGTTCTCCCAAGGGAATTTGAGTTACGTTAATCAATTAAAATTATTTATCAAGATCAATTACTGATGATATTTGTGATTTCAATTTGGATTTAAGCATGAAATTAACAACGTAAAAAAAATAAGACTGAAAAATGCGATAAAAGATCACTGGAATTGGTCTTTGACTAACATTACAGTAAGATCCTGGACAACATATATTCTCTGTTCAAGCATTCACATGAGAGTATCTTGGTTCAATTCCTTAAAACAAGTTCTAAAATTATCTATTAAATTATTAATTCCTTAATTAATTCATCAGATAATTTTGCATTAAGTTCATATGTGAGAATGACCAAAAGCACAGAAGCTATTCCTAGCGTCATTTACTTTTAGTTTCTTTTCTTACGTTTCTGGTTCTAAAAATACTTTCCAGTACAAAAGAACTTTTAAAGAGATTAATACTTCCGTATAATCAAAAGCAAGTCAAGAAAATAACATGAACAAAAACATATATTGCACAGGAATTTTACATTAATGTTTCGTCATACAATCAATTCCAATGAACAGAAAATTTAGCCTATCCTAGACATCTCAAACGTACTCTTTACAGCAATTCCTTGCATAAAGTGAAGTCTTGATGTCTTGACAGGTCTTCGGATCGTTTTCTGAATTCTCCAGTCTTTCTCTGGCTATTTTCGTGTGTCAGAAGATGGTTTCTGCCTTGCTGTCACGTCTTTTAAAACCACATAACTTCATTAATTCGCTCAGCGCACCGGTGTGTGTGCGCTATGTGAATTTTGTGTAATTGCTGCCTCTCAACTGATGTTATTCGCACAGCGCACAAGTATTGGTTCGCTATGCTAATTTTCGTTTCCTGGCAGTGCGAGTTTTGGCTTGCGCTATGCGAGAATTGGCTTACAGACTCCCAATTATACATCCTTTCCTGTACAATAATTTACAAAACAATCTACTTCCTGTTACAACATTTCACTGAGTAATAACATGAATAATTATAAGATTGAGATCATTTATAAGTGTAAAAACAACTCTTTTTCACACTTATCATTTCTACTCCTTTTTACTTGTGAGTTTCGGTCCATGATCATGCAAAGAAACTGTTTTGCATGTATCAATTGGTCTTCTTCCTTTGTTCTTGATCTAGAGTTCTAAGGACACTATCCGTTTCTAAATTGGTATTTCGTAGGTTTGTTTAGAGTTTTGTGTTTCAAGTAATTGGCGGAATGTTCCTTGGGTTGAGTAGTTGTCTTGTGAGGTAAGGGAAGCTAGAACTTGTTCTAGAGTATTGTGTTGATTTAAATTTAATATATCTAGTAGACTAAAGTGAAATGTATGTATTTGAATTGGTTGTTCTAGTGATGTTTGAGTTTTAAATGATGATCCAAGGTGGTTTGATTGTTTGAATGATTGGTGTGATATGTTTAAATTGTTTCACTATTATAACTATGTGTTTAGAGGTTGTATATTGTGTTTGGAATTTGATCTTAAAGTGTTTGGAATAATGAATAGTGCATTACTTGAGTTTCAAGCTTAAAAATGGAGGTTTTGGTGAGTGAAATTTAGAAATAGGTATTGGAGTGAGATGGTAACTAGTCTAGCACTGTTGGTTAATTGGGACTTGTTAAGAAAGTTAGATGGTTGAAAACTGATATGTAACCAACATAGTTGAAGTTGTCTAGTGTTTTTGATGTAAAGAGGGGGTTTTAAGTGCTGAGATTTTGAAACAATGAGTGTAAACTGTTTTGGATGGTTGGAAGTCTATTTTTAATGCTATTAGGACTTATCTAGGCTATTGAATGGTAGAAATCTAGTTTAGAATGATTGAAGTCATCTTAAGTTGAGTTATTGGGAGTTTTAGTATAAATTAGAGGTTTTGCATGGTGAAAACTTGAAATTGAAGGGCTGAGTATTCTAAGATGTTGGGATGTGATAACAAGTGTAATTAGACTTGGTTAGGCAGTTGGTAAACTGTTATAAGTGTTATAAAGTTTAAAATTTGAGTTTGGGTAGCTTATATGAATGAATTTGGGTCAAGGGGTCTAGAGCTGCCAAAATGGGTCACAACCCATGGGCCAACCCAGTCCATCACGGGTTTGAGCCGGGTTGGGTTTGAAAAAATTGTATTCTTTTTATGCAAGTCAGATTTCTACCCGGCTCATGCGGGTTGAACCCATGGTAGGCCGGGTTGGCCCACCAACCCACCTACCTAATTTTATTTTATTAAAATTTAATTTTAATTTTATAAAAAAATATTTATTATTTTGTTTTTGTTCGAAAAAATTATTTAAGTTCCTTATTTTCAAAATTAATTAAACACCCATCTTGGGAGTGAAATTTGTGAGTAAAATTTGTTTAGATTTGAATTATAGAATGTTTGTAATTTTTTTTATTTAAAAAAATTGTAATTAAATGAGCTAGGGAGCCAACCTGTTTACCCACCAACTCGTGGTGGGTCGGGCCGTGTTTGAATTTTTCTGGCTCGCTAATAAATGAGCCGGGCTTGGTTGGCTCACTAAGTTTTGACAACTTTAAAGGGGTCAAATTGAGTTGCAGTAGTGTTTTTAGAGGTTTCTCAATGTTTGGAGGGTCTTATCGGTCTTTAGAAGTTAAGAGTAAAGTGTGCAAAGTGAGAAAAACATGTCTTGTTCTTTTTTATAGCGCCTGAGCGCCCAAAAAAGGCGTTGAGCGCCCGTTTCCAGTGGCTAGGGCGCTGAGCGCCAGCCTCTGGACGCCCGAGCGCTATTGGGTACAGTTGAGCACCACTACACTACTTTCGGAGGGGTTTTTAGGGTTTTGAATATCATCTTTAGACGTTCTTTAGGTCGTTTTGGGGGTTTTTGGATCCTTTCGGAGTTGGTGGTGAGAGTTTCAAAGTTGTTTTCCTTACTTAAATGTGAGTATCAAGATGCCATGAAGAAATTATGTTATTGTGTGATTTCTGATGACTTGTAAGGGTGTTTCTATTTCTTTAATGTATGTCAGTACTCTCATATATTGGCATAATATGTAAAGGTGAAGTGATATCAATGGTTTTAAAATTGTGAAGGTTAGTTCCAAGGTGGAACTTCTTGGTATGGTTTCAAGTGTTGTTAGAATGAATGCAGGTAATTCAGTCTTAGGGGTTATCATGACACTCTAATGGTCATATGTTCTCAAATAGAGAGGTTTGAAACATGTGGTGAGAGTAGCAGGAGGTCTTAATCTAGGTGCTTCCAGTATGGCCTATGACGCGATACAGACTAACCTTGGGATATGTGGTAGGGTGAAACCCAATTGGCAAGGACTTTGCAAAGCAGTAGTTGCCACCATAAGTGCACAACCCGTCATAACTCAACATTCATTCTAAGTCCGAACA